AAGATAAAATGTAAATGATCATTTAAATTCTAATTGCATTCGTACTACAGATCTACCATCTACATAGCTATCCATTGATGATTTCGTTTAGGAACAATTGAAAAGATGGCGACGATAATAATAATAATAATAACAATAATAATAGTAACAACAATAATAATAACAATAACATCAGCAGCAGGAGCAGCAACTACAACAACGACATCATCATCTGATCGTCCTCGCCATCAAATACACTCGCACTAAATTATGTGATACTGCAGAAGAAGCGTACAGACGTGTGGTTGGGTGTTCATCAATCAATTTTATTCATCCAATCAGGCACCTTATGTTTTCATTCGCGTCATTATTATCATTATCAAAATTATCGTCAACAATATCACCCTTATCATCATCACCATCATCATCAACAACAACAACATCAACAACAACAACAACATCAGCATCAACATCGTCCTCTTCATTATTCCAACATTATCAGCATAATTTTCACACTCCAGCATATGATGGCGACGTGGTTAAACAATTAAACTACTTGCATGGCTGACATGAAAACGAACACACACGCACACACACGCACACACACAAACAAACAAACAAACACGCACACACGAATACATACACAGATACATACACTGATACACACGTAGCGACGCTCGACTAGACGTAGCGTCACATTTGCAGACTACGCAATTTATGCGCGCGTCTGCCGCTAACTCATACGTACATCTAAACGTGTTTGTGTACGTGTATGTGTACGTGAGTGTGTTTGTGTATGCGTGTGTGTGCGTGTGTTTGCGTGTGTATGTTTGTGTGCATTCGTTAGTGCTTAGTGCCACCGTGTGAAAGTGAGTAGTAGTTGGAGTCTGATTGTAACATGTCTGTCTGGTGTTTGTCAAACCAACGCACTTATATACAGGCATACATACATACATGCATGCATACATACATACATACATACATGCATGCATGCATACATACTTTGGGTCTCCAAGTAGATTTAGTTAAATCATTAAATACATATGATCAATAAATCATTAAATCAAGTTAAATCATTAAATACATATGAGTTCCAATGATTTTATGAGAGCCACCGTTGAAGAGTTTCATAATAGATTCAGAAACCAAAAAAGATAGGCCAAGAAATTATAAGAAAATTCAATGGAAATAAATTTATCTACATAATTTTATCTCTAGTAGCATGCCTTCATATTGACAAGAAGGATCGTAACTTCATTGATTTGGTTACCGATGTGTTGTCGTCATCAGCATTTTTTACTTCAACAAAATTTTCAGCCACATCAAATTTTGAAGTCTGGTTATACCAAGTTGAATCGTTACACTCTGTTTTATTTCTTGGTGTTATTTCTGGATCTTCCATCTTCTCTTTATCCCAGCTTTCGACAAACCTCTCTGGACATTCTACATTCTTCTTCGTCTTTTTCAAATTTTTTCCGAATGAACTTTGAGTCCGCTAGATGAAAGGAATTCAACAACGTGCCATCTACCCATGTTTATTTTTCTGTTCAGAGTTTGAATAAAATTTAGTTTCGTCTCGTCACTCGTCCAGTCGTCGAGTGAACTGTTTTTTCAATGAGATTTTACTAACTTTCAAATTGCAATCTAGATTGAATTTTGCGGCTTGAAGACAAGAGTGCATAGATACGTACAAGACGCACCTTCCCAGCTTTTCATGTTTTAAATGTACATTAGTTGTAATTTTTGTTGATGTTTCTAAAATACTAATTTAGCGCTGATGTTATCAATATTAATTTTTTGTTGATGTTTTTGTTGTTGTTGTTGATGATGTTGTTGTTGATGTTGTTGATGTTGTTGATGTTTCGTTGGTGGGAAAGTTGTATAATTTGAAGTATTTTATCTTTATTTCCTGCATATCATCACAGAAATCTTGAAAAGATTTTGATGTTTATTATTATTATTATTTGTGATATTATTAATATCAATATTTTTATTATTCTGTTTATTTTTATTATTACCATCGTAATCATCAAACTCGTCATCTGCCATATGTCATTTGTTTTATTTTTTTTTCTTTCAAATTTTCTTTTCATCTACTTTGATTGTTTATTTTTTTGTATGTACGTTTGTACGTTTGTTCGTTTGTATGTATGTTTGTTTGTATGTTTGTACGTATGTTTTTTTTTTCGTACCAATGTGTCTAATGCCTGAAAAATGTTTTTAGCGGCTGAACCGAGGCGTTCCTAGGTACAAACGTTCAATGTTCGTATTTTTGTTTGTATGTGTGTGTGTCTTTGTGCGTGTGTGTGTCTTTGTGTGTGTGTGTCTTTGTGTGTGTGTGTCTTTGTGTGTGTGTGTGTGTGTGTGTGTGTGTGTGGTGTGTGTTTATTCATGTGTAGATGCGTGTGTTTGTATGATGAGTTACTAAAGCGAGCGTATTCTTCTGTATATTTATATTTTATTACCCTCGCCTAATCATACGATCAGCATTCATCACTATTTCATTGATCACTTATCATTTTTGTCATTTTCGTTGTAAATATTATCATCGTCGTCATCATCATCAGCTGCAGCATCAACAACAACGTCATCCTGGTCGTCACGATAATAAGTGATGTTACATGTCTCCAAAGAACAACAATTGAGCCATTAAGGCAAATTCTACTGCGGTTGACTTTTTTTCTTTGTTGTTAAGAAATCCGATCCACTTAATGCTGATTCATTTATTTTTTCAGAAATTTTTTTTCACAAAGCTTGAATCGACACAAAAATTTATTTTCCTCTAAAATTTTAGAATATTTAACGAAAGAATTAACAAAATAAAACACCAAAAAATGTTTTTTCTTCAAAAATTTTGAAAAAAATAAATGGATGCATCAATTTCATTTCAACTTCAGCGTTAATAATGCACCTAAGTTACACCACAAGTATGTTCATTTCATTCTAATTATTTAATTTTGTTTTTCTAAAATAAAAAAATAACAGATGAAAAACACAGAATGATAAACAGAATATGAATACAACAGAATTTTGTGGTATAAATACGACAAATACCTTGAAATGGCTAGGTGAGGTTAGGCTTGCCTGCCTTCATACAGTTTCGGATACTTCAGATTCTCTCTCTACATTTTCGTTCTTTCAAATTTTCTTTGCCAGTGATTTGCATTGAGGAACAAAATATTATGCACTTGTGTTGTGTTTGTTCGTCCTTCGTTCTTTTGTTTTTGTGCAGAACATGCTAGGCCTGGATCACTTACTATCTCACATCATTTGCTCGATTGTTCGTTCGTTCGTTAGTTCGTTCGTTCGTTCGTTCGTTTGTTTGTTTGTTCGTTTGTTTGTTTGTTCTTTCATTCGTTTGTTTGTATGTATACGTACATATGTATGTAGACACACATATTGATGCTTGAAACGAACGTACGTATGAAATTATTTATGAACATCCTTTGTTAACAAATTTTACGTTTCAAAATTTCAAATTAAGCGTTAAAGCATCGCGAAACAATACACATCACAAACGTAGAGAAAGATAGAGAGAGAAAGAGAGAGAAGGAGAGAGAGAGAGAGAGAGAGAGAGAGAGAGTTGGACAAATGTAGCATTATAAATTCACGATGATAAATTGCCGAATTGTGAGTTTAATTCATCATTTATTTGAATGCTGCCATTCATACTCTCTGCAACCTATTAACGCAAAAGTTGTCGGCATTTTGTTGTTTCGTTATCTACTGTTACTAGCAATTATTCATCCGTTCTTTCTATCACTTGATTATTCGTTTTTTCGTTCATTCCATTGTTCGCTTCTTTGTTCTTTCATTCAGTCATTCCTTAATTCATCCCTACTTTCATTTTTTCATTCATCTATCCATCTATCTATCTATCCATCCATGCGTCTATCCATTCATCCAATTATTCATCCATTCATTCAACCACTCATTATTCATTCATTTATTGAATTGAATTTCTATTGTTTTTGATGGATGGATGGAAGAATGGATGAATGATGATGATGTTATTGCTGCTCTTTTATGATGTTGTCCTATGCTCATTTGCAAGCCTTTTGTCTTTTGAAATTTCCGTCTCAACTTTAAGCACAATACACATAGAGACGAACATACACACATACAAACACACATACATACACACATACAAACAATATGTCTATCTTTTCAACTTGAAATTCATTTAAAAGATGAGAATTTTTTCAAGTTTTTTTTGTATTCAGCGCAAACATCATCTTAGATCCTTTGGTATTGTTTCAAACAAATAAACATACAAACATGCATTGGCATACATACATACATACATACATACATACATACATACATACATACATACATACATACATACATATATACATACATACATACATACATACATACATACATACATACATACATACATACATACATACATACATACATACATACATACATACATACATACATACATACATACATACATACATACATACATACATACATACATACATACATACATACATACATACATACATACATACATACATACATACATACATACATACATACATACATACATACATGTAAACAATTCTATCTTTTGTTTAACATTTCAATTTAATACATTCTCAATTGAAAATAATACTTTTACAAATGGACATCATCAACTTTTTAAAATTTTTGTTAAATTGTTAAAAGAAACAGAATGAAAGGAAGACGAAGAACGACGGCATCATTACCATTGACCTCCAGTGCGTTGCAAAGTGCTTCAAACGTTTCAAAATGTAAAATTATTTTTTAAGAAAAATGAAATTAATGTAAGATGTTGAAAGAATTTGTACATAAATTCAGACGCACACATACAAACACACACACGACGCACACACACACATACACACACACACACACACAGATACTACACTCCTATTCAAATTGAACCCGTAAGATAGTATCCAGTACAAGTTAACTGACATAACTCGGGGAGCATTACAACATTAAAAGGGAGGAAGTTTGATACACATGTACATGATACACATGTATCAAAGAAGATGATACTTTTGTGTGTCTGTAAGCTTTCTTTTACTCTATTTTCTCTTTCTTTATCTCTCTCTCTTCTTCTTCTCTCTCTCTCTCATACTCTCTTCATCCTATTTCTCTCTGATTTTCTGATATAACATTTTTATTCATATGTAAGTTTAACTCAAAATGATAATGTCTTCATCATCCTCATCATCACAATCATTGTCATCATCATCATCATCATCTTTACCATCTCCATCATTATCATCATCACCACCATCATCATCATTACCATACTGTTCGTCACTATCATCATCATCATCATCATCATCATCATCATCATGAGCAGACGACAAGATGTCTGAGTGGATCTCACTCGAAACTGTTATTACACCTACTATATATCTGCTTATACAACTATACATTTATATACATATATGCACACACATACATACACACAGACACACACACATACACACACACACACATACACATACTCAAACCTACAATTAATTCAATATTAATTTATTCAAAAACATGGATGGTAAAAATATACAGACATGCAAGTTTGTCTATTAATATGGGTTGTATGTATACATGTATGTTTGTGTTTGTTTGTTTGTATGCGTGTAGGCCTATGTATGTATACATGTTTGTTTGTTTGTGTATTTGTTTGTGTATTTGTTTGTTTGTAGGCCTATATATGTATGTTTGTGTGTTTGTTTCATAATTCATCACCATCATCATCACCATAATTATCATCATCAGCACCACCACCAACGTCATACTCATCGTCACCATTTCTTCGCATGATCAATTGTATAAAGTGTTACATCAAAATTTTTTTTACAAAATCTCACACACGCACACACACCCCATATTGATACCTCAAAATACGCGATAGATACATTACTATCTAAGAATATATCTATTTGAAATAGGATACTTTTAATAGAGATGATGAGATGATAACCCTTTTTATATAGCACCGTTATCATAAAACCATGTACTCCATTTCTGCTTACAACCATATACACACATTCACACACAAACAAACAAACACATTTCTACACACACACATATACACACACATACACACACACACATTAAAGATAATTTTATACTTAAAAATAGCTTTCAAATTTTAAATATGTATAAAAAATTTTCTGAAAGATTAAAATGAAAAACCACATTAACAAACACATCAAACAAACCTACATACATACATTCACACACACATATCCACACACAAACAAACAAACAAACACACAAACACACATACAGGCCACATACAAACAAACATACAATCGAACATACAAACATACATAGAGACACGAATTAATGATAAATTAAAAACCACATCAAACGAACCTACATACATACATTCACACACACATGTCCACACACAAACATACAAACACAAATACAAACACACAAGCAAACACACATACAAACACACAAACAACCATACATACAAACACACAAACACACAAACACACAAACAAACACACAAACAAACAAACATACAAACACACATACAAACACACATACAAACATACATACAAATGAACATACAAGAGACACGTATTGATGATAATTGACGCGGTATATATTGGCAATAAAAGCACATTGGAGATAGGTAGGTAGGTAAGCATTTGCACGCTCCTTGTTTGCACTGCTGGCGACGATAAATATGAATAATAATAACAAATAATAATAATAAAATAACAATAATTAATAATAATAAATAATAATAACTAATAATAATATTACTCTTACTAAAACCCATAATCAATTTTATAGTATTATTATTATAGATGGTTACAGTATTAATAAATAAACGAATATATATATATATATATACGTACGATTATATATATATATATATATATATATATATATATATATATACGAAATCACATATCATATATAATCACATATACATATATATATATTTTTTTTTTTATATTTATATATATATTTATATTTAGGATTCATACTATCAGGTATACAAGTTTCCTAAACAACTCTATATGTATATATACATATCATATATAAATCAATATATATATATATATATATCATATCATAATATTGACACATATATGTGTAGTGTTCATATCATCTGTATGTACAAAGATATACTAGATATACTAAATAGATAGATATACTAAACATAAGATATATTAATGTGTTTCAGCATTTTATTAGCACACGAAGCTCGCTAGCGGTTTAACAGCGTGCTATGTTTGTTTTTATTTTTACTTGAAGAATCATCATGTATTTTATTATAACTGTTAATTATAATTATAATATAATAATAATTATAGATTAATAACATTATTATTGTTCTAATATTTTATAATTTTTGATTAGTTAGTTAATTAATTAATTAATTAACTTACATTCACCAACTAATTTACTTGTTTTTTAAAATGTAAAAATTTACCCAAAGTTTTATAATAATAAAAATTAATAATAATTATTATTATTATTACCATAATAAACAATAACATTAACAAAACTAATTTTATCTAATTATTGACAAATAGTAGGAGGTTTGTTTGGTTGCTTTTTTGTTTCATTTAAATAATTAGTTTGTTTATTTTTTGATTAATATCTTATTTACTTGTTATGTGTGTGTGTGTGTGTGTGTGTGCGCGTGTGTGCGTGCGCCTGTGTGTGTGAGCGTGTGTGTTTCAAAATGTCCTCCTTCATTCGTTTATTCTTTCATTCATATATATATATATATATATATATATATATATATATATATATATTTATTTATTTATTTGTTTATTCATTCATTCATTCATTCCATTCATTCATTCATTCATTCATTCATTCATTTATTTAGTAATATATTTGTCCAATCATTGATTTATATTAACGTCTTATCATATTTTCAAAACCGAATCTTTGATCTATCAATCATTAACTCATTCCTTATTTAATTTTTCCATCTCTCCATCCATCCATCCATCCATCCATCCATCATTCATCTACTGTTCTATCTAACTGACAACGACTTCATTCATCCATTCATCCGTCGGTCCATCGTCTGACGTACGTATCGATGAAATGTCTTTTTTATTTTGAGAAGTCTTTCATCTATTCGCTCATCCATTTATTCATTGTCCTGTCCATCCATCCATCCACCCATCCATCCATCCATCCATCCATCCATCCATCCACCCATCCATCCATCCATCCATCCATCCACCCATCCATCCACCCATCCATCCATCCATCCATCTATCTATTGTTTATTTAGTGTTTCATTCAATTATTCATTCATTCGTTTGTTTTTTCTTTCGTTCACTTATTCATTTTGCATTTACCTTTGTTTTTATTTTATCTATCTATCTATCCACTCATTCATTCATCCACCTCTCCATACATCATTTTACCCACCTACCTGCCATCTAATTAACCACCAACCAACCAAACAAACAACCTATCAACCAAACAACCAATCAACCACCCAACCAATCACAGTAATTTATATATCGCCATCTTCTAAAGTGTTTAACCAATCAGAGACGGACATTAAAGGCACGTTAAACAGCACAGGATGGAGTGTAGGTAGGTAGATATCTCTTGCATTCGAACCAGGTCCTCGCAAGACAGGAACAGGCGCTCTAACCACTGATCCACCG